CCCATGGTCAGGACTGCCATATGGACCACATTATTGGGCTGCCCATCCGCATCCATCAAGGATGGCATCGCCCGAAATGTAGTCAAAAGTGACATTGAGAAACTCCGCTCGCCATCGGTCATTGCCAAGACCATTGAGACGGAATCATTGCTTCTCGACTCATGGTCGCTGCACCAGAAACAGCCATCACATCACATGGACAACTGCTTCGGCAGACTCTGCATCAGATGCATGGTCCATGTCTTGAACAAGGGCCCATCTGCCTCCATTGAGAACAAGACATACGAGTCATTGGGAGCCATCGTGGCATGCTTCGCCAAGGAGGTCCATGAGCCGCCATCCCAGCAGAAAGCATCGTCAGCATCGGCCTCGACTGACAAGGTCATGGACCTCATCTCGACGAAGCCCTATCATGTGGCCATGCTCCAGAACAGCCACATGAGTTTGAACGGCATGCCACATGAACTGCAAACATGCCTGTTTGCAATTTTCGGTTGCATGTCTCCTTCATACATACATGTGCACACGTTGATTTTAACATGTTTTGATTTTTCAGGTACACGAACACGAAAGACCATGGTGCATTGGTCTTTCAGTTGGTGGACATTCAGGACCATGGTGCCACCATGAGGCATCAAGGGCTCCATGACAAGCTCATCGAGGTGACTGTCCCATTGGATGCATTGAAGAAGTGGAGATCCACGAAGAGTCCCATGCCAAAGGCATGCGATCTCGCCATGCAGAGCCGATGCATGCCGGAGACCCATCCTGCATTCCAGGAGGAGCATCAGAGGGCCATGGTCATCGTGGCCTTGCATGCGGCATACGAGAAGCATGCATGCAATGCATCCATTGCCTTCGGGCAGCATCCTCCATCATTGTTCACATCATGCCACTGCAAGAAAAAGGCCATCCGTTTGGTGCCCATGGGAACCATTGCGAAGCATAAGGGCAAGGAGCCGACGAAGGCCATCCACATCAATGCCTTTGGCCATCAGTGGACCATCACGGCACCCAAGCAGAACAGCATGTTCGAGGACGACAAGCTTCCATTGGTTCCATTCTTCTGGGTGCGACCCGCACCATCGGATGAAGAGGCCAACATGGCTTGGTCTGTCATCAAGCAGGACGACATGTCCATTCCCATGCTGGTTAATGAGGATTCCATTGCAACCCATGCTGTGCTACTCCATGCATCGGCAGAGCCGGAGGCCATGAAGGAGCCACCCAAGAAGAAGGCCAAGTCCAAGGCCAAGAACTGATGGCATGTGCCATGCAGTGCATTTTTTTCGTGGCTTGCTGCATTTGGCTGCTGTATGTGGCCAGCATCCATCCTGATTTTCCTGCGAACATAGCCGCTGGGAGCAAAAGATGCAGTCACAGGTAGCTGTGCAGCTTGCTCGGCGCTTTTCTTTTTGGGATGGGTTGGGTGGCAAGAAGCATCAGGGGTCTGTGGAAATAGCTTTGGAAAACATGCATGCCATAGAGAGCATACAGT